AAATGAGGAGATTATTATTTAAACCGGTCAAAATCAAGACAGGAAAACACAGAAGGAAACCAGTATGTCTACTGACATTATGTCCCAATGTCATTGTTGATGTTGGACTATTGACTCAGCTGTCAGTAATTCGCAATCACTCCTCCTATGGCCAGGAGGTTAGCCCTCAGCCAAGTGGGTTAAGCCAGGTTTTGACTAAACACTCCATAACTCTTTCAATCCTTTCATTATTGGGAGTTGTTATTCCTAGAGAAGTTACAGTTATACACAATGTTTGTTTTGATCACCCATGTATGGGGGCAGTGACCATCCAGGGCCTATTCCCAAGGCAGGACTATACCTTGGATGGGACACTGGTCCATCGACACACATACACAGGCCTGAGCTCAAGCTGATTCATCTGGACATCCCCTCTTTGGAATGGGAGAAATACAGCTCACCTGCAACATACTGTACTGTAGTGGTAGCAGACTCTTGCTAGTCCCTTGGCTTAGAGAGTACCAGCAAATGGAGAAGGAAGCAGCCAGAACAATAAATTGCAAGATCACAGGGCTTTATTGCCTTTGATCATCAACAGGTGCATCCTGGTCTCTGAGAGATAAGCATTCACTATCACCCCCATGGTAAAAGTAAGTAAAATGTCTACCTCCCCTGTCTGTATATGGTGAGAAGGGCAAAACAGTGGGCATAAATGGCATGGCGCTAGCCTGGTGCTCTAGCCCAGCATGTGTGAATACTTGCTGTTCTGTTCAGACTTCATGTGCAGGAATTCATGCAGAGCAAAACGGAGAGAAACCAGAAGCTGCTAAACTAGTTGGAATTATTTTTCTTTTGGCTGGCCAAGTCACAGCCCCTTTTACATTCTATTGTTCTGGAGGGAAAATGTTTACATGACGTTTCATGCTTGGAAGGAAGTGCATTCTGGGAAATCAAATGGATGGAACTCTTCACTAGCGGGTAATTGCCAAATATTATTTTTGGGAACAAATATGGGACAGACCGTTCAAAAGATTACTGTATTGTTGAATTCTGTTGTTGTCTAAAATTCTTATTGTTTATGCTGCCAGTAATTACGTTGCCAGTACATTGACGTTTTGTCAACGTTCTATTCAACACAAAATAAAATCCATTTACTTACAATATTAACCTTAAATACAGTAAGTGGATTCTTGTAGAAAGTCATGATTCATGGTAAATCAGATTTGGGGTAGGTCAGCTACTATATTAGACATAATTACAATAATAAAAATGAACTGGTAGGACTGTATACAGTACATACCTACTGTATGTGCACCCCACTAAAAACCAGTTACAGAGTATTTAATGTGATAGATTCACATTGTAACTGGTTTTGTTAAAAAATAAATGAAAGTCAACAGTTGAAGACTGTCTCATGCTTCAGAGACTCTACCGTGATGGACATGTTGCTACTCATTCTAGTTTCCCTTCGTTTTTCTCCCAGAGCATGAAAAATTAGCTCTGTTCATGGGGAAGGAGCATGCTATCTCGTAATATGACCTGATGCATTGCATGGCAAGAGATAAGCAAGTCTGGACCCTGTCTGTATTATGCTTGAACGCCTATTAGAATAAAAGCATTGCATGAGGTAAGGGTAGATCAGTAAATGTCTCTCTTCCCTCTGGGCCCGAATTTCCGAATCAATATCTCAGCATGGTGATTCGAGACCCTGAGTGCTGGAAGGTGCTGTCTTTCAAAGGAGACATTAAACTAAGGTCCTGACAACCTGTGGTCATTAAGGATCCAATGGCACCATTTCTTTTGACTTTGGGCTTGCACTATCTGGTTTCACTGACACTGATGGTAAATAGAACTAGTACGATATGAATCTTTTGTCCCAAAATTGCATGAATTCATTCTCAAAACATACAGACTGACCCCAGTAATGCAATTATGGAGACATTTTATTGATATTGTGGCTTTAATCTTGGTGTAACAGACAACTACCTGACCCCATGGATGAGGAAGGTGGAAGGTTGAAAGAAACAAGTACACCCCACACGCATCCATATCACTACAATATCAGGAATTAATATCATGATACCACAAAGCTGATACTTTTCTGGCCATATCAGTAATAATATACACTATTCTTACTGGCCAGCAGCCATATCACTCTATAACTCACAAGTGGCAACCCACTGAAGCTAAACAGGTGTGAGCCTGGTCAGTACCTGGACGAGAGACCTTCTGGGAAAAATTAAGGCTGCTGCTGGAAGAGGTGTTAGTGGGACCAGCAGGGGGTGCTCACCCTGCTATCCATGTGGGTCCTAATGCCCCAGTAGAGTGATGGGGACACCCTGAGGTGAGCACAGGGTAAATCCAAAGCCAAGTCAAAACACGAGCAATGTCCATAGCCTGGGAGAGAACAAGAGCACAGAGGGAAGTCGGGAACAGCGAGACTAAAGAAATGACTTGCCAAGACAAAGTAGAGATGACTGTGAAGTCAGGCTTTAAATATCATGTGTGTAACTATGGCTGTGTCCCAATAACCGAACTTGTGGACTTGCACCCTTCATATGAGCATTCCCGCTCCAATCTGCAAGGGTTTAGGGTGTCCCATTTCTCATTTTGTGTTTGACAAGGGGGCTCACAAGCAGCCACAAAGCGCCCTTCTCTGAAGTCATCAAAGCAGACGCCGCTGAAGAGAATCACCCCCAGTTCTTTGTGGAATGGTGACGTTTCATGCTCTATCCTATCAAAGCAGAGAGAAGTTGCCATTGAGAATAAGTTATTATTATATAAATTATTCAGGTGTTAGTAAAATCGAACTTTTCATAGTTTTAAAACTCATAATTTTTTATATAAAAACAAAATGTCATTAGGTTACTTTGGATTCATACTATGTAGTATGTATTCTAGGTACAAAGTTTTTGACACAAAAGTTTCATTTTGTCACCCCGTTTCGACTGATGAATACTCGTTTACCTGCGGTGTATTTTGTACATGGAATATTTAATAGTATACGTATTTAACAGTACAAAAGGTTTGAGGTATTGCTAAGTTTACCTTATTTAGTTTACTTTGAATGAATGCGTTAGGTTCCTTGTACAGTCATTTTTGCACTGGGACAAATAAGATGTATTTAGTACAAAGCTTGGAATAAAGAGAGGTATTGCCAAGTTTTCCTTAGTTTACTTTGCCTGTTTTGAGTCGAGCTTGCGCGACATGAATGAACACAATTGAGTCACTACTTTCGTGCAGGGATAGATGAGATTAAATTCAATTTAATCAAACTTAAGAGTGGAGAATGAAAAATTCTTTTGAAAACATTCCTGCCGACATGCACTTAGCCTCTGGAAAAGAAGCATCAACAACAGACATTTTCACTGTGAGCTGCCTCAAATTTTCAGTGTTCTTCCATCAATGACCTTGATCGTTTAAACCATTTGTTCAATAAAGATATGGCAATGTAAAATGTTGTGTGTGTTGTTTGTTAAATAAGACTATAATTATGACATAGATGAAGATCAGATCACATTTTAGGAGCTATTAGTGCAGAAATCCATATGATTCCTAAGGGATCACAAACTTTTTCTCACAACTGTACATGACGCAGAGACCTGGTGAGTTTCCAATACTGACTTACTGTAAGTAAAAGGTTGTTGCATATAAGAAAGATTAAAAAGCTAGCATTATCAGGTTTAATTTATGAAAACATAAAACACACAGGAATAAATAGATATATTATTCCCCATAAAGCTAAAGCATAACACAAACGTTATAAAACAACTCTTGAAATGATGACTCTCTTCGTGACAACTTAAATAACATCATTTAAACTAATTTGAACAAAGCTGCAAAGTACATCTGTCCCATTTAATGACAAGCACCTGTATAACACTGTACATTACATCAGTGCAAACAATGTACAGGGTTTCAAAATTGAAGTTGCGTACCTTTTGAGCTAGATTACAGAAAACGACCTAAATCTACATTTCACACAACATTTAAAAGAGAGAAGGCAGGGGGGAAGGATATAAAGATCTCAGCAAAAAAAATTCCAAACAATTCGTATTCTACTCTCAATCACACTGCAATGAGATATTTAGTGACCAAGTAATAGGATCCCTATTGTCATTCGTACCTATTACATCATCTCCTGCAGCTCGATGCCCCTGGACAATTTACTGGGGCAATGGCCTGGCGATTCTTGTCCAGTGGGGAAACCCCCTGTGGGTTCACCAGCATCATTTAAAGAAGCAACCTGGCTCTTCAGTACTGACCAAGCTCTGGCCCAGCAACAACCTACCTTTGCTTAGTTTCTCAGATCAGCTCTGGGGCTCAATGGCTTCAGTACCATTGCAAGTATGCAAAAAGATCGATCTTTTTTTACCTGACCTGAAACATCACTACTGGAAAGGCAAGCATTGAGCTGGCACTTTAAGAAGCCAATAAAGAAAAACAACATGAACATGAACTGGAACAGCCGAATATAAGTGCACATGGAACACGAGACAAAGATGTCAGTCCTCATTCTGGAGAGACCTCCAGTGTCTGCCATTTTAATTTCCAAAACAAATTCTCAAACCTGCTTGATTAAGGCTAAATTATTAGGGAAACTTGAACTCAGCTAGAACAAAACCCAGTATACATGGGGATACTGTCGCAATTTGAAAAGTCTGAAATGGATTACTTTAAAAAAAACAAACATTTTCAGTCATCAATACTTAATGTGAGAAGTAGTGTTAGTGAAATTAATAAATAAGTGTCTTCTTGCATCTATAAACAAAAATGACATCATGCTTTTCTATAACTTTTAATTATTATTAATTTAATTTAATTATTATTATTAGATGTCACCTCCAAATAGACCTCTTCACACAGCAAACATTTTAGCTAACTTTCTCACACTTAAACCCAAATTCCTCCCCATATCTCCTACACCACTACAATAAAAGTAACAACATTAGGCTCCACCACCATTTAATGCACACAAGGTTCAACATTAAATATATTGCTTATCAAGTAAGTTCCCTCTTCATATGACTTTTCACACTGTTATTAAAGTCCTTCTTCCTTGTGACATATCAGCTGTTCTGGGCTGTCTGAGTGCTAAGCTGACTAAATCCAATATCAGTGGGAGGTGATCTGATCATCCTGTGGATCTCTTGGAACTGCAGAACCTTGGTTTGATAGTGCGGACATTGGCGTTCTGGCATCTCCTTCATTCTCATCTGAGTAATTAGACTGAAAAAGAAATAAACAGAGGATGAGTTTTTCCAAAGTGACACCTATGTACACCTAGTTCAGCACTAGCATCAATCAAATAACATAAAGCGGACAAGTGTTTCACACAGAGTCTCTATGCAGTAAATTGGAGACATTAAGGCACTCATAGGGTGCACATACTGTAGCCTCTGTCACACAGAGCACTGGAAAGTCATAACTGGTTTATGCAACACATGGCTGTATGTACAAGCTATCCTTCCACATGAGTAATTGGGGAGGAACCTTTCTGATTTGTAGTAGCAGCCACTGAGGCCAAGACGTGGGTCACTCAGCTTTTAGCACATAATCAGTAGGGGACTCCTGTTCTAATACTGCTGGCTATACAGTGTAAATGAATACAGACTCAGTTACATGAAGAAGGGTGCAAAAAGAGGAACACTTACCTCTGTTCTACAAGAGAAACAAGTCCAAGACCAGTAATATCAACATGGGAAGAGAAAGAAAAAATTTTAATAGACATTTACATTCAATACTTGTGTTGTGTACAAGAATCATTGTAATACTGTGTAAACAAGTAAAGTGTACAAGAAATCAGTATTCTTTTATTTCTTACGGTAAGCATCTACAGTTATAGAATATAAAAATATAAAATATAATCAGTATAAAGCAGTTACCTTTCCTCCTTTTGCTGTCTGCGTTTGTACCAAGTAAATATTAATACACCTGCTGCTGCAAGGATTAACACAATTCCTGCTATGAGTACCCCAGGTGATGTTCTTGAAGTCTTTGCTGAAAATGAACAGAGGGATATTTAATATCTGCTAGCAGACTGCTCTACTAGATTTGTCTGTTTTCATGGGGATACATCTAATGTTAACATAAGAAAAAAGAAGAGGGAACCTAAATTACAAAAAACAAAACAGAGAAGGCCTCTTGGCTCATTAACCCCATTGGGAAGTTTATTGAAAGAAGCCATAGCATCAGTTTCAACAGCATGGCTGGGAAGTTTTCTCCACACTCCCATAACCCCTTGGGTAAAGAAGTGCCCCCTGTTCTCAGTTTTAAAAACACTTTACAAATGTCAGGAAACATAACAAAGGATAGTTGGGAAACCTCAAGCAAGTTTTGCATTCCTGCTACACGTTTCCTTTTCAAGGATTTTTTTTTTAAAGTTTCAGCTGTGGTTCCCATTGTTGTCCACAGCAAAGTGACAGGCTTTAGCAGGATGTGTATCAATAAATCTTGCCGAAACAAGTAGGAGGGTTTCTGCTTTGAAGTATACATTGCCCATGCTGTAATCCTCTTTTTTACTCTGTAACGCCTCTGCTTGTTTAAGAAACAGCAGCTGAAAGACACCACCTCTTAAGCCCTTCGCCCTGAGCACAGGAGATTCTCACTGTCTTATCACCTCTCCTTTACTCTTTGTACAGAAAT